TGAATGTGTCCGTCGACGAAGCCGCCTTCGTACAGCGTGCCGGACGCCCACGCGTACACGCCATTGTGTCCGTGGTATTTGTCACAAGCAAACGGGCCCGTGTACACGTCGCCGGTCGCGAAATGGCGGTAAACACTGAGACCGCTTGCGACGTTGTCGTGGAAAGTGCCGTCGAAGATGTCGCCGTTGGCAAAGATGTAGCGCCCGCGGCCGTGCTTGAGGTTGCGGCGCCAATGGCCGACGAACTTTTCGCCGGTCGCCGAGACAAAGACGCCGGCGCCGTCGCACATGTCGTTGGCCCACATCCCAGAGTAGATGCTGCCGTTGGCGTAAAAGCAGACGCCGCGACCGTCGCGCACATCGCGCACCCAGTGGCCCTGCTCGGAACGTTAAAAAAAGGCTGCACCGTGTCAAGTGTACCTTGTAGACTTCGCCGTCGGCCGTGAGAATCCCGACGCCGTCCGCATGCCCGTGCACAAACGTACCCCGGTACGCGTTGCCATTCGCCTGCAAACAGATCGTTAAGTGTTGGGATGCAGATCGAAGAAGAATTCCAACTACCTTGGTGAGCGATCCAAAGCCGTGGTGAACGCCGTGGTCCCATGCGCCAACGTAGACGTCTCCGTTCGCACTCGAGTGCACGCCGCGGCCGTGGATCTCACCGGCTGCCCACTCGCCCTCGTACGTCTCGCCGTTTGGAAACGTCAGGAGCCCGACGCCGTGCTTGACGCCGTCGCGCCATTGGCCCTTGTAGGTTTTCCCGCACACGCTTTCCCAGAGCCCAAATCCCTACATCTAATTCTACACCGAAACATCGCGTGGGAAGAGTACGTGGCGATAGCCGTTGGTCCATTGACCGCGGTATTGGTCGCCGTTGGCGTAGTAGTACTCGCCCCACCCGTGGAACGCACCGTCGGCAAAGTCGCCGACGTAGAGACTGCCGCTCGGATACTGCGCTTTCGCAAACGCTGTTGCAACGCCATGGAAGGCGCTGAGCCACATGATATGGTCGAACGCCGTCGAGTCGCACGGGCGAATGGCCGTCGTCGCGACGAGGAGCCCCGTTGCGTCGATTGTATCGCGGGGCGGCTCCATGGACGCGGTTTTCGGGCGTGCCGCGGCCCGTTGCACCTAGCTCATATACTTAAGTAGTCCGTGGCAAAGCTCGTATTCTATCGAGGCGTTGGCTACCGGGGTGTTGTGTCGCTTGAGCGGCACCACGATTGGCGGCGCGTCGGGCACCGTCAGTGTCGACGCTCGACGCGTCGCGAGTGGCCAGTCGTTGGCGGCAATGATGTCTGGCGTCGTCACGCACACGGCACAGTAGGGACAGATTGGAAACGAGTACCCGACGTTCCGCGCTTGGCAGACGTCGCAGTACCACTTGTGCTCGCTGCGCTTGTGTTCGTGGATCTCGTGCATTGTCGCCGCCACGAAGCCGCAATCCGCCCAGTCGCAGCACAAGAACGCATTGTACGGCGATGGCGGCTGCCACTGCGAGTCTTGCGTGTACATTTCAAAGTAGAAAAACTCGCTGGTCCACGGGTCGCACCACTCTTGCCAGCTCCCGACCGTGCGCACGAGCTTGCTTCGCTCCAACAGCTGCTTCATGGCCCACGGGCTCTGGAGCACCATGTTTTGCTTTCGCCGCTCGCGCTGTGCCGCCCGGCGTCCCCTAGTACGAACCGAGTCCGTCCCTTATAGCATCATCACGATCGAGCGACGTACAAGAGGCCGCGGGCGACGCGCTGGATCTCGATCGCAGCAAAGTGCCGTCGACGCACGTCGGAGGCCACGACCCGCCCTTTCCAGCCGCGGTACAGGCTCTGGAGCGACGTCGCCACGTAGTTGCGCATGTTGCTGACTGTCTCTTCGTGCACACGCGCCTGCTGGAGGAGTCGGTCGCGACACTTGTCGATCGCGACGAGTCGCTGCTCGTAGATGCGCCGGAGGATCGCATGCTCGGCGTGCGTACGGACGGCCACGTGCATGTTGACGTTTCAAAAGATAGAGAAAGGGCAGCCCCCCGACCTGTACCGAGACCGGCAACGCATGTCGGAGATTCCATCGGCGAGTCAACGATTGCAAGCCCTCCAGTGAGCCCGACCCGTCGGGTGCTACAGCGCTAAATCGGCTTTGGTCGCATCCTAGGGGGCGAACAAGCCACACGGATCGAACTCGCGTGCGTCTGTGCAAGCGCACGACGCATCCATCACGAGAGCGCGTGAAACAAAGTAAAACGCCGAGCGGCCTCCGTTAGCACATCAAGCAAAGCAACATCCGACCTCGGATTCTCATAAACATCTATCCGATCTGGTGTTGGTGCTGGATAGTTATCGACACAATCCGACCTCGTATATCTTGCTAAAATAGTTTTGACAAGTTATCCGACCTCGGATTCCAGAGACGACGAGGAAGAGATGCTGGGCGATGATGGGACGAGGGGTAGATCCATTCTTGGAGCCGATAAAACGCAATCGAACGATCCGATATACTAGAACGACGGCGACGATGACGCGTCGGAACATATAGACAGATAGTACAACGACGATGCCGTGATGCTACGGCGTTGGGAGGGAATCCAGGTCCCGCGGGCGACACGGCGCCTTGTGGTAGCGCGCAGCGAGCGTCGACGGCACGACAAGCAAAGGCGGTGTCACCACGAGGTGCCGAAGGATCACGCTCGGGCGTTCGTGTACGCCGTCGTTGTCGTCGTCGTCCATGGGGAACCAGCAGTGGCCAAAAACCTCGGTCGGGCGCAAATGAATGTTCCACGCTTTCGAGGTGCCGACGACCGAGATCGATGGCCCGCCGCCGTAGTAGTGCTGAAACACCTTCCACACGTCCGGGTGGATGGTATGGTAGGCACCTAACGGCAAGTCAGGTTTCGGCAAGAGCTGGCCGCGGTGGAACGAGAGTAGCGAGTGGTTGGCGATCGCGCCTGGGTGGTCGCCACCCGCCGTCACATACGCCAGCCACCGACTTAGCCACGACGCCGAGATGATGTAGCAGAGGTCCGAGCGCAGCGCGGCGTGCGAGATGGCCATGATCGTGCTGTACTCGTCGGCCGGGTGCGGCTGCTGAAAGAACAACGGCGATGGCTTGCCCGCCTTGCTGTGCACGCGGGCGTCGCCGAGCGCCTGCAGCATGTGCAGCACGTCGCCGCAAAGGCGGCACGTGCGCTTGGACGCCTTGTCAATGTAGGCGCGGTGGGGCGAGCAGGATGCGCAGACGAGGCGGCCGCAGAGGCGGCAGTGGTGCTTCCATTTCGTCCAGAGCTGGAACGGCGAGTGGCAGATGACGCAAAGGGCACTCTCGCTCTTCTCCATCCACGCAGCGTCGGGCGACGCGACCGCATTGGGAAAGGCGAGGGAGAAGACTTGCTTTCCTCGGCGCATGCTAGCAACTTGAGATCTGCGAGGTGCCGAGCGTAGCCGCCGGCGAGATGGCACGCGCACGGAAGGCGGCGCTGCACATCCTTTCGGTTCGAAAAAATCTCACCCGCTTCCTTCGACCGGTTCGTCCGGTGACGTTGCCAGCGAGTACAGTGTGCACATCAACACGTTCTCTCGGCGAGTCGATACTCGAGCCTCGTGGCGCCACGTGCATACATACGGACCAAGAGACCGTCGTAGCTTCAAGAATGAAGTGCCACGTGATAGAAGCCACCTCGTCGTGAGAGAAGCCACCTCGTCGACTCTGTTGAAAGCGATAGAATGATAGCAGGCGACATGCGATGGTGCGTGCCACCGTAGAGCATGACGCATCTGTCCACACATTGGATGGATATATTCTCAGAGCCAGCGTGGCGATGTGGACCGTGATGGCGCGATCCGTCGCACAACCCAATGCGAAGAGCTCGACAGAAGAAGTCTCGCCCGCAACGCACATCGAATCAAGTACAAGCAGATCTTAGTCGTCTGCCTTCGCGAGGCCGCGCGCCGCAAAGTCGTCGGGCCAGAACGAGCTCGAGTACGGCGATGAGAACGCAGTCGTGACGTCCGGTGGGTGGTACCAGTAGTTGAGCGCGAGGTGGCCCTTGTCCGACGCACCGTCCACCGTAAACGACGTCACTTCGTGGAACCACGAGGCCGGAAGGTACAGCATATCGCCGACGCCAAGTTCGCACGTTGTCGCCTTGGCGCTGGCAAAGAGTGGAAACTCGGCCGCGAGCTCAGCCGCGGGGCGCGACGTCTTGACGCGGCTAAAGTTGATGGGGAATTGGACCGTCTTGTCGACGACACGGCGCGCGACAAGGTCATCTTCAAACACGTCCTCCGCATCCTCGCCCGTCTCCTCATCCTCGCCCGTCTCTTCGTCCTCATCCTCGTCGTCGCCATCCTTATCGTTCTCATCCCATTCGACATCCATGGCAGCTTCCATGGCGGCTTCCAGCTTGGCCTCTGCAGCCTCCACACGCTCAGCCGCGCCGTCGACGCCATTTTCCAGGTCGGCTTCCGCGGCTTCGAGCTAATACATGTATCATCATCAGCACGATGCCGTCAATGATGTCATGCGAGTCGGGAGTCTACCTCCGCCTCGGCGTCGCGCTGCGTCTTGGCGACGATGGCAGCTTGCTCCGAGAGCGGGTCGGCGCCGTACGCAGTCGTGGGCTCGCCCTCGTAGTTGATGCGGCCGTTCTCGTGCACTTGCAAAAGCGAGCCGCGCGTGTACATGGCTTCGACGTCCGACGGCGCGTAGAGGCGAAAGTGCTTCTTCCCGCGCAGCAGAATGTACAAGTTGTCGTGGTAGTCGTGGTGCAGCCCGGTCGTCGAGCCGTCGACCGCATTACCCATCCAGACGTTGATGTTTTGCGGCACGAGGTGCCCGAGGAGCGATGGAGTCAGCGGAAAGTCGTGGGCGAGCTGCGCAATGAACGGCGCCATGAGACCGGGGCGACCGGTCTCGGGGTCGGCCTCGACGTCCTGCGTCGTGAGGTAGTGCAGCATGTCGCGCTGCTCGAGGAGGTCCAAGAAGGCACGAAACGTCATGGGCACCTCGTTGCCCTTGCCAAACGAGTCGGACGGCGAGCTGCGCTCCTCGACCATGAGCGGTGCATCGCCCGCAGTGGCCTTCAAGTACTCGTTGGTCCACTTGGCTGGCGCACTGAACGACGGGTCTGCGATGAAGCCACGGAGCACGACGGGCCGGCGCGTCGCCACGTACTCGGCGTAGAAGCGCTCGGGCGTGACGCTCGCTGTGTCAATGACGTCGAGCTCGTAGTTGTGGCTCGGGACTTCCCAGCCATTGTAGCGCACTTTGCTGCTGCGGGTCTGGACCTTCTTCGTCTTGCCGCTATTCGCGTCGGGCGATGGCGCGGTGACGCGCTTCGAGCGAGTCGAGGCAGGCATTTGAGCTGCAATCTGAGTGCGTATCTGCGTACCGCCATCGATTGGTCCGTATATCCGGATTGCCGGATACGACGCCCTCGCCCTACGACAGGATTAGCTAAAACGGATCAATCGCAATGCGAGATGCGAGGTATTTTGGCCAATCCGCACGGATGTACTACCAGGATAGAAACACCCAACCGTTCCATGCTGTGTTGACGCTCCGAGATGCGCAATGCAAGACGCGACGCAGGTAAAGACAGAAGAAGGCTATACATAAATTCTATTGACGAGTGTACACGGACCTACATTGAGCCTAGCCAAAGTGGAAGCTTTGACCTTGGCCGCCGAAGCCGCCGTGACCACGGCCACCGTAGCCACCGCCGCCGCCCATACCACCGAAGCCGCCGCCGCCCATGCCGCCAAAGCCGCCGCCGCCCATGCCGCCGCCTTGGCCAGAGAAGAACATTTGGAAGATGTCGTTGGGGTTCATGCCACCCATGCCGCCCATGCCACCCATGCCGTCGCCATCGAGGTCGTCAAGGTCGACGCCAGAGTCGTAGCGCTGCTTCTTCTGCGGGTCCGAGAGCACGGCGTAGGCCTCGCCGACGTCCTTGAACGAGGTTTCGGCCGCCTTCTGTTCCTCTTCCGTTTTGTTCGAGTGACGATCCGGGTGGTACTTGAGCGCCGACTTGCGGTACGCCTTCTTGATCTCCGCGTCCGAAGCCGACGGCGAGACCTCCAGAATCTTGTAAAAGTCTTTCCGCTTGGCCTTCTTGAGCTCGAGCTTCGTCTCGCGGATGTAGCCCGCATACTGGCGCTGCGTGTCTTCGCCAACGAGCTTGGAAGCCGATTCATACTCGCGGAGCGCCTGTTCGAGGTTGTCCTTGCCGCCAATGTCGCGCAAGCACTGGGCCTTGCGGATGTACGCCTTGACGTACGAGCTGTCATAGTAGATCGCCTTGTCGCAATCCTTGATCGCCTCTTCATTTTGGCTGAGCTTCGACAAGGCCGCGGCGCGGTTGCAGTGCAGCTTGGCATTGTACGCCTTGTTGGCGGGGTCGATGAGGAGGCACTGCGAGTAGGCGTCCGCGGCTTCCTGGAAGCGACCACCCTTGAAAGCGTCGTTGGCGGCTTCCTTCTGCGAGTCGAGTTGACGGATGCGCTTGATTTCCTTCATGAAGCGACCGTTGTCCGGGTCCGAGCGCAGCGCCTGCTGCAAGTGCTTGATGGCGCTCGTAAATTCGCCCTGGAAGTACAAGCACTTGGCGCGAAGGTAGAGCACATCTGGCGACGCCGAGTCGGACCGCATGAGCTGCGTGAGGGCAGCAAAGGCTTCGTCGTAGCGTTCGCAGCCGATGAGCGCCTCGGCACGCCACTTCTTCAAGTCGTTCGCGTGCGTGCACGTGAGGAGCGCACTGTCAAAGCACGACACGGCTTCGCGGAAGCGCTCCGCCTTGACGTAGTCGCGGCCACGCGAGATCTTGTCGGCGGCGATTTCGGCCGCGCGGCGATCGTTGAAGAGCGTCGCGTCCGTCGGGTCCTTCATCGAGCCCGCCTGGTACGTCTTGATGGCGGCCTCAATGTCGCCAAGCGCGACTTGCGCCTTGGCCTTGCGCTGGTAGCCGCGAATGAAAGTTGGCTCCATGGCAATCGCCCGCGACGAGTCGGCAATCGCTTCGTGGTGCTTGGCAATCATGAGATACGCCGCCGCCCGGTTTCCGTAGAAGGCCGCCGTCGTCGGCGCGAGCTCGATGGCCTTCGAGTACATCTCAATGGCGCCCCGGTAGTCGGCCTTCTTGTACAGGTCATTGCCCTTGGTCTTCCACTCCTCGGCAGAGGCGTCGTTCGAAGACAAGTCCATGTTGCGCTTCTGCGGTTGCCGCCCGTTTCCAATATGAAGGCGTCGCAGGGATCCACAGAACCAGTCTTTTGCGCTTCCCCCAGGACTTTGAGGCCTAATTAGGATCCTCCCGGAGTCAAATGTCCGAATTCCATTTTATCGTGGCGCACGTCGATTTGATTGGTTTTATACCGCGATGGACTTTCGAGAAATTTCTAGAATCGCAACTTCGTGAAGAGTATCAAGCCACTTGACTTGATATTCGTGTCGAGGCCGCAAGCACTACGGCCCAGTGTACACGCGGAAACCCGTGTCGACGCCGTCGGCTTCCCATGCTCTAATGATGGCGCGCGACCGCAAGTCGGCTTGTCGAATTGGCTCGGGCACACGGAACAGCGATGTTACTTGCGTGAGCGCGACGGCTTGCTCGAGCGTAATGAGGTTGCCGATCGAGACATAGATGGGGTTTTGAATTCCTTTCGTGCACAGTGCCGAGCCCCATACCTACACCAGAGGCAAGCCTGAAACAAGGTCACGCAGCACGTTCGTACCGTGCCCGACTCGCCACGCAGCGGCACGATAACGTCGTCTTTGCTGGCGTCGCCGCGCTGGATCGCCTTGGCGTCCTCGACGAGCGCGCGGATGTGGGACTTGGCGAGGCCATCGACGTTGAGAAACGTCTTGGCAACGCCGATCGTTGGCAGCGCCTTGACCACGCCCAAGTGCGACGCGATGCCAAAGCCGCGAGGATGCAGTCGCCCATTGCCATCGACAAAGACGAGTTGCGGCTGAAGGTCCTCTGGGATCATATCGAAGAGTGGCAGGAGCGCCGGTAGCTCACGAAAGCCAAGGAACGTTGGGATGTATGGCAGTGTCAGGTTCGTGTAGCAACTAGTGCGAGAGGTAAATCGCCCATTGACGCCACGCGTGAAAGACCGTACGAGGCTTCACAGAGCACTTTAAGGTCGGGATACGAGAGGACAACAAGGGTCGCGCAGGCGTCATTGGTTCCCTTAAGGAACGAGATGTCGACGCCGCCGATGCGGGCGAGGCGGCTCTCATCCACGGAGCTCGTCATGTTCATCGCGCACTTCATCTATGGCCAGGATGAGTCATGAGATACGTAGCCCACGCCAGCGTACCTCTGTCTGCTCGGCCTCCCAAGCTACGCGCTGGGCGTCTGTGTCTTCCATGCTCATGGCAGGTACTCTTGTGATGATGCGGTCGCGGGTTCCTTTGTGATGTGGCCAGTGATGGTCCGAATGTTGTCGCGATCTTGCGCAGCGCAATAAAATGCATGTATTTTATTACACACGGTGGTGACTTCGCTTGGTGTTTGTATGTCGTCGACGCCGTTGGCAATAAATCACGATACAAATCCACATTGAGTCTAGGCTTTCGCGCCATTTTTGCCTACGCGAAGCCCGAAAAAGCCGAAAGCTGCGTGTAAAAATAGGATATATCCTAATTGAATAAATTTGGAATTGGGTGAAGCCCCGCACAGCGAAACCTGTGGGGTTGGAAGTCCAGTGATCCGGAGCAGCAGACCAACCCACGATGCCATCGTCCGAAGGTAAGCGCGAGCGAGGAAGAGGCCGGTAGATGGAGCGCTCCATCTACCGAGGATCTTTGCGCGATGGAACGCTTCCAGACGCCCATGCTGCTCTCGGTAGATGAGAACTCCCCGGCCGTGTCCGAGTCGGAATCCGAGTCGGAGATGAAGGCCGAGGCCGGCTCGAAGAAGCGCAAGCTGGACAAGAAGGGCAAGACCAAGACGGCCAAGAAGAGCCGCGTCATGGACAGCGACGACGAGAAGCCCCGCAAGAAGAATGCCTTTGTTGAAGAGGAAGCGTCCGAGAGCGATGACGACGGGAAGGAGATCGACTCGTCCGAGGAAGAGGACGTCGAAGAAGACAACACGTACGTCAACGATGGCTTCGTCGTCGGCGACGACGACGAGAGCGATGAAGACGAAGGCCGGGGTCATCGCAAGCGCAAGAAGAAGAAGGACAAGAAGCGCTCGCGCTTGCGCCAAGGCCGCGACGACGACGACCTGGACGACGATGACATTGATCTCATTCAAGAGAACTTGGGTATCAAGAAGAACCGCGACCGTTCCTACAGCGATGGCGGCGACTTCGACTCGGATGGCTCGGTTAAGAAGGCGTCCAAGAAGGTGAAGAAGAAGGCCGAGAAGATCAACGCCGACATGTCCAAAGACATGTTTGGTGCCTCGGACGACGACGAAGATGCTGCGCCGGCGCGCAAGGGTGACGGGTACGGCGACGAGGCCGAGTACGACAGTGATGATGGCTTCATCGTGTCGGAAGACGAGGATGGCAGCGGGCGTCAAAAGACGGGCCACCGCCCCATCAAGAAGCCGCGCCAGTCGATGGAGATCGCCCAAGGTCCGTCTTTGTACCAGCTCGACGAAGCCGAAGAGCTCTTTGGTGACGCTGAGGCCTTCTTGGAGGCAACGCGGGGCCACATTACGCAAGAGTCGGCCGAGAAGGACAAGCGCGCGATCTTGATTGACAAGTACGAGCCCAGTGTCTTGAAGGAGTTCCACATGACGGCCAACGACGCGGCTGTCCGCGAGCGCGACGAGCCCGAGCGCTACATCCAGATGTTTGCGCAGCGGCGGTTCCCGGACCCCGAAGAGCGCGCAGAGGAAGCCGAGTGGATGGTTGATAGCGTCTTGAAGAAGCTCGAGGCAAAGTACACGGGCCAGCGCGGTGTGCGCGGTAACCTTGTGACTGCGATCGATAACGTCCTGCGCTTCTACCACGAAGACAAGCTGGAGCCGGCGTTTGTCCAGCGCTACTGCAAGGAGTACTGGAAGACCGCGGGGCTTCACAGCGAGCATTTGTACCTTATCCAAGACCTCGACGTCAAGTACGACAAGCTTCAGCGGAAGCGGGCGGCGCTGCAGGTCGGTATGCAAAACGCCATTGACGCGAGCGAGGCGCGTGAGAGTACCGCCGTGCGCAAGTGCTACCAGCATGTCGTGCGCAGCCCCGAAGAGAAGCACTTGGCCGATCTCTCGCTCGCGTTTTCGACGCTAGACGTTCGCGACAAGAACAACGCGGCGGGCCTCAAGCGCCCTGGTCGACGGACGTTCTACAACGTGTGCGTCAAGGCTGGCCTCAAGGGCCTCGCCGCGCAGTTCACGATGAGCGCGACTGTCCTTGGCGGCGTCTTGGCGGGCATCTTGACGGACGGCGAAGGCCAGGTGCCAACGCCGACGGCCAGTCTCGGTGACATTTGCATGACGTACCTCTCGAACGAGTTTCCGACGATTCCGGACGTTCTCAAGGGCGCGCGCCACGTCGCGGCGTACCAAGTCGCGTCAGACCCGAACGTGCGCCAGCGCATGCGTGACCTCTTCCACCGCTTCGCCGCGCTTACGACGCTCACGACCAAGAAGGGCGTCGAGGAAATCGACGAGTTTCACTACTGCCACGGCCTCCAGTATCTCGAAGGCATGGCGGCGCTGGACGTCTTTGGGACGGATTTGTACATGCGGGTCGAGAAGGCTGAAAAAGAAGGCTTTGTGACGGCGCACGTCGCGGTGGACCACCTCGTCTTGATTGAGAGCCTCGAGCAGATCTACCTCGCGCCGGGTGACAGCAGTGAGTGGCAGAGCCACCGCCGCGACATTCTCGCCGAGGCCGTCGGAGCGTTCTTGATCCCGTCGCTCCAGGAAGAGCTGCGCCAGGAGTGGCGGCTTTCGGCCCAAGATGTTGTGCTGCGTCGATGCGGCGACGCCATGCGGAAGCGCGTCATGGTCCGGCCGTTCGAAGCTCACGAGGGCGAGGACCCGCGCCTCATCGGTATCTACGTCGACGACGAAGATCCGGAGGCCGTTGCCTACATTGTGGCACTCGACGAGAACGGAGAGCTCGTCGACAAGGTCCAGGGCCGGTGCTTGACGGCAACGTGCCTCGAGTCGCTCCAGACCGTGCTCACGACGTTCTTGGAAGAGCACGCGCGCACGTCGGCGGTTGTTATCAACACGAGCGGCGGCCTGAAGTGCATGGACATGGGCGAGCTCGTCGACTCGGTCCGCAACAAAGTCCATCGTGCCGATGCCAGTGAACCGCGCGAGTACCTCCACGTGACGTTCCTCAAGGACGACGTCGCGCGCATGTACAGCAAGTCGAAGCGCGCCGAGGCCGAGTTTCCGGAAGAGTCGACGGGTATGCGTGCTGCGATCGGGCTCGCGCGCTATTTGCGCAACCCGCTCGCGGAGCTCAGCTCCATGTGGGGCTTTGTTGCGCAGAATGAGCCGGGTCGCGGTCGTGAGCTTCTGTACCTCAACGTCGATTTGTTCCAGAGTCACGTCAACAAGGATCTCCTCGTAAAAGAGTATGAGCGCATCTTTACCCAGACCGTCAACAAGGTCGGCGTCGACATCAACTACGTGGCCAACTATGCGCACGCGTCGTACGTGCTGCAGTTCGTCTCGGGTCTCGGTCCGATCAAGGCTTTGGCGCTCATTGAGAAGATCAAGGCAGCGGGGTATCTCGAGAAGCGCCAGGACTTGCTCAAGATGGTGTCGGGCCCCGTCGTGTACCGCAACTGCGCGGGTTTTATCCGCATCCGCGAGCGCGATGCGCTCAAGGAGTCGCCACTCAACTCACTCGACGACACACGCATCCATCCCGAGAGCTACTACATGGCGGTCAAGATGTGCGGTGACGCCAACAACAACACGACAATGGATTTGTACGACCCGGATCAGTACTCGTACGCGGTCGAAGACACGATGTTCCAGTCGGCAACTGCGATCAAGAATGCCAACGCCAAGCGCCCGGCGAGCACGTCGAAGAAGAACGAGCGTCTCTCGGACGTCGAGATCCAGGACTCTCTTGCGGACCTCGACTTGCCCGCGTATGCCAACCGGCTCGAACTGCAGCAGAAGGGTCCGAAGCTTTTGACGCTCGAGCACATCAAGCGCGAGCTGCGGTACCCGTACTTTGACCCGCGTGACAAGTACAAGGACCCGGTGCAACTGGACCTCTTTTACCTCCTTCACAACGAGACGCGCGAGACGCTCCGCATTGGTATGGTCGTGCCGTGCCGCCTTATCAAGATGGCAGGCGATCAGATGGTCGTTGTTTCGCTGCACTCGAACATCAAGGCGCAGCTCAAGAAGGAGCATCTGCCCGACTACATGACGGAGCGCGGCAACGAGTACTTGCGCATCAACGGGTTCCCGCGCGGCATGCAAGTGAACGCCAAGATCATGGACTTTGTCCAGGACTACAACCGGTACCACTTGAGCCTGGCCTGCGACCAGCGGTCGATTGTCATGATGACGGAAGAGATCTTTAACCGCGGGTCGTTCCCGCGCGCCGTGAACGTCGACAAGATCATCAAGGACAGCCAGAACCGGTACGACTTGCTCGTGAACGAGCTCCCGCGCCCCGAGGAGGAAAAGTCGTACGACAACACGCGCATTCAGAAAAAGTCCCAGCGCAAGCGCCGCCAGATCATCCATCCCGTCTTCCACAACGTCAACATGAAGCAAGCGATCGCCAAGCTCAAGACACTCCCGGTCGGTGACGTTGTGCTTCGCCCCGCGCGCGAGAACGTCGACCACTTGACGCTGACGTGGAAGGTGCTGGACGGTGTGTACCGCCACTTCGACGTGCTCGAGAAGGACAAGCCGTCCGAAGGTCGCCTCGGTGCCAAGCTCATCGTCAAGGACGAGACGTACGAGTCGATTGACGAGATGATTGCGCGGCTCATTGACCCGATGAACACGCTTGTTGACGAGGTCGTGCACCACAAGAACTACCGCAACGAAGACGCCCACGACATCGGTGAGGCGCTCCTTGCCGAGAAGAAGGCCGACCCCAAGCGCATCCGTATGCGATCCACCCGTTCAGAGAGTACCCGGGTTGCTTCTCCGTTACGTTTGTCGCGCGCACGACGGCGCGGACGTGGAACATGGAGGTCCGCGCCAACGGCTTCCGCTTCTTTGGCTCGGTCAACTCGTCCGTCCAGCCATCACTCGCGCACGCGCTTGCATTTTTCAAGAAGACGGCGCTCGCGCCGCCAAAGTCCAAGCCGCGCACGAGCAACTACGCGTCGGGCTCGGGCAGTCGTGCCGCCGAGCCGTCGCGCCCGTCGAGCTACAGCAGCAATAGCCGTTCGGGTGAGCCTGCGCCGCGCACGTCGAGCTACAGCAGTGGGCATCACGGCGCGCACGGCGCGAGCAGCTACCATCCGCACGGAGGCAACAGCGGTGGTCCGCGGTACGCCGACTATGGCCGCCCGCCGCCGCCGCACCACCAGGCGCCGCCCCACCACCACCATGCCGGCCCGCCCTACCAAGAGCGCCGGTACTAGGAACAGTTGTAGTTGATGACTCGTTTTTCGACGCCTTGCGACATCATATATGGTGCCTACTCGTGTACGACGACTGGTTTTACATGTGCAGCAGCGCAGGCGAAACGTGCGCCGCCGAGAGCCGCTCGGATGCGTCAAAGACATCGCCGCACGTCGCACACCTACACACATCCACCGCTCAGCCCAAAATCCAATGTAGTACGACGCAGCGCCATAGTACACAAAGGTCGGGTCGGTTGCGACGGCCGTTTGGAGGCAGTAGTAGCAGTATTGGTGGCCACACGTCGTAATGTACGGCGTCTACCCACATATCCTGAGAGATGTCAAGAGAGATGGGTCGCACCTTGGCCGGCGTGGCGTTGCAGAGGGCGCAAGGGCCGACGCCGCTGGCGTGGTCGTCGCTATTAACGTCAGGGCCGAGAAGCTGCTTTCCGCGCTGCTTGAGCCAAAGCCCGGCACGCTGCCAGTTAATGAGCGGCAGCGCAAAGTAGCAAAACTCGACAAAGCCGTCCCAGACCAGCTGCCGGTTCATGTACTCGAACGTTATGGCGCGCGGCGCTACCGAGCGCGTGAGCGGCGCCTACAGGTCGCAGTGAGAGCTTCCTCACAAAGGCGCGCATCGTGTTACGAGCTTCATGCCCACGAGGCGCTCGGGCACGCTGCGGTACTCGCCCTGCTTCCAGAACGCGAGGTGGTTCGCGAGCTTCAAGATCGACGCGACCGTGCTCACGCGGTGCACGAGGTTCAAAAAGTGCTGGTATTGGTCCTAAACAAACGCATGGAAAAAGGTGCAGCGGTAGAGCAAGTGCGCGCACCTCGGCCTCGGTCGACCGGTCTTCGCGCCAGCGGTAGCTCAAGAGCGCGCGATGGATGCGATTCCATGCATACGGTAGACCCACCGAGAGGAGGAAGAGCGGCAGTGTCTTCTTCCAAGTCAAGCACTCTTTGGCGAACTGGAGGTTCTGGAGCTTCATGCCCGGCGTTGGCTGCACATACAGCATGTCGGAGCGCCGAGAGCACGATGGATGGATGTAGTACCTGGTGCATGCCCACGGAGAGCGCAAAGAGCATCGCGTACGTGACGCCATCGATCTCGGGCTGGTACTTCTCCATCAAGCCGGGCTGGAAGAGCGCAAACATGCTCTTGATCGGGTGCTTCATGAGCGCGAGGATCTCCGAGTCGAGCACGAGCGAGTCCCACTTGTTCACGCGCAAGTTGGCGCTCGCATGCGTCGGCGCAAGGCTCGGCGCCCGGGCGAGCACGCCCCGGAGCCGCGCCAGCTCAGCGACGCTGCCGTCGGCCCACATTCGATTCCATCCCTCATCCGGACGCCTCTGTCATATCCGGATGACCACCCTGACGATGTTGACATCATCATCCTGTTCCGGGGGTAGCACTGGCGGTTCTAGCATCATCGCTCGTACTGAGCTACGCAAGCGTCGTAATACCGAGGCCTACCGAATTGCGCTACGAAGATGCTCGCATCGTCGAGCTTTAGCGGCTCGGCCATCCTCCCTCGTGTAAGGCGCAGCTGCGTGCAGAAGAAGGGCACGAGCAAAGAAGCTACTATCGGTTCTGCAAGCGCTTGATCGATCCGTCTGTACCGTGTACCAAGGGTCAATAATCTGCTTATGGACCCTTGCATGTACGAACGCCGAGACTCGGTATTCCTTGAAGCCAAGACCGCTCCCACTGCGTCTTCCATCGAGGCTGACATGATGATCCTGCCTCTGTTGCACCTCGCCGTGGGAATTTCCTTGCTATTGCTACTGGCGGCGACAAAGGCGGCGGTCGCATCGCTTGGCCACGACGTCCCTATCACCTCGCTGCGTGTCGAGGGCGAAATTCACTCACATAATTCGAGGCAAACTCTTCGCATGCGCATTCCTTGAAGCCCTGCCAGCTGGCGAGGTACTGGATACGGCAATGGCCCGCGCGAGCGTGACCACGGATGCATTTCCGATTTTCCGCCGCCATGGCCAAGAAGTTTCTTTGCTGCACGATCACGGCCATGAAGGTCCACCAGGTCTTCATGTCGATCTTTGGCCTCCTCAACACGGTGGCCGCCGTCTGGCTCATCGCGAACGACGACTACCCGTTCAAGACGTCGGGTGAGATCCGCGGCTCGGTCGCGCGCGTCGTGCTGCACTGCTACCAGATCGTGCTCAGCCACTGCCTCCTCATGGCCGCCGCCTTTGGCGCGCGCCTGCCCCTCGAGTGGTTCGGCCTCCTCACAGGCTTCGTCGGCTCGGGCTTCTACCTCATCTTCCTCGGCTTCCTCACGCTCAGCCTCGACACGATTTTTGGCCTCGTCGTTGGCATCCTCACGATTGTCTATGGCGTCGGCTCGATCATTTACGGCTACTCGACCAAGAAGGAGATGCTCGAGAGCGGCACGTCGTACCGCAACCTCACGCTCGACTAGAGCTCTCCACTTGTTAATGCATTCATTTTGTTTCAATGACCAAGTTCATAGTCGAGATGCAGGACCGCTCGTTCGATCCTGCGGCCGGCAGTCGGGGGCTCCATGCGCCTTCGGGGATTGATGTAGAGATGGCAGCTTTCCATCATGCCAAAGGGGCCAAGGTCAGCGTACGTCCGATGCACTTGACGCGCTGCAGGTCGCAAGATTCCTTGTAGCAACGCATGCCTCCAGGTCTCGGTCCCGTCCGCTGGCGTCGTCGTTGCACATACCACGACGCACACGTAGTACTTTGTTTCAGATTAACAAGGAGGGACATGCAATCGTACAAAAGGTCGACTAGGCACACAAGATATGCGCGTGCTCGGTCGACTCGGTGACTTGAATCTCGAGGGATGGCTGCGTCGCGCCCGTAATGAACTGGGCCATGCCCTCGAACGCTTCGTTCGCATGCTCCGAGTTCTTGAGCACCATCGGGTACACATGGCAGAGCGACGGGTGGTAGATCTCGTGGACCGGCACCTTGGCACTCTTGGCCGAGTCGACCATGGCCGCGATCTCGTCGGCGAGGATTTCGCCGCCGCCATACACCACCTACAGCCACGCGTCATTGAAAGTAGAGAGAGATACGCGTTTACCATGATGGGGGCGAGGCCCTCCATCGACTGCAAGCCGGGCGACGCCTTCTCAATGTTGTCCTCCGTCACGTACGCCGCCCGGGCCGTGAGCGCGCCCGACCTACGCGCACTGCTGAGATCGTTTGCCTACGCTGTGCTCGTACTTGGCAATGTAGTCGGTCGTCTCGTTGCGCTCGTACGACGTGTGCGTCATCGTGAGGTCGACCCACGGCGAGAGGAGGATACCGCCCGCGGCTTGCGGCAGGCCGAGGCGCACGATGGCTTGCAAGAGCGACAGCGCGAGGTTGCCGCCGGCCGAGTCGCCCATGACGATGATGTTGGTGTAGTTTTGGGCCAGCAGCCATTCGTACGCCTACCGTCGTATTACGCATTCAGCGAATGCTACAAAAGGCCGTACCGCGAGCGCCTGGTGCTGCTGGTGCGGGAACTGCCGCTCGGGCGCAAGGTCGTACTCGAGGCTAAAGACGCGGGCCGCCACATCCTGCGTGTTGAGCGCAGCGATGAGCGGCTTGATGAGGTCGTTCGACTGCGTCGCGGCCGTGCCCGCAGCAAACGCGCCGCCGTGGATGTACAAGATGGTCGCGTGCGATTTCATGTGGTCGTGCATGACGGGCTGCCCGTACCAGAGCCCTACGCGTGGCAGAATGATGCAATGCGAGCGCACATGCGAAGTACCCTTGACGCGCGGCGTCGCGACAATGTGAAAGGGCCTGTGCGCATATATCGAGATGAGTGACAGGCCATGACATGGGCGATGTACTTGTAGAGCAGACGCTGGAGAACACCATAGAGGTTGAAGAGGCGGCGGAACACGGGGGATCTGCGTCGACGTGCAGAGGCGCATGATGTGGAAGAGCACAGCTTGGGCAAACGACTGCTGCGCATGCGCCCGTCGCTGGAAGTAGACGACGAACGGCGCGATCCAGCAGTCAAGGAGGAGCTTGGAAGTCGCCACGAGGTGCATCTCCACGTCGGATTCCAAAATGAAGCTCGACCTTCGAATTTTGTGGCCTTTCGAAACGCACTTTCTGGCTTCGATGGCCGAAGCTCACACTTGACGAGTAGTAGCCTGGCGCAGCTTCAACGTGCGGCACGTGACGCACGCGCGTCAGTGACCAGCTTGGGTCACACCGCGACGTGCGTGGCAGTATAATCATCGCGCCACGTAGCCGATACGTCGAACGAAGAAGCGCCACACGCACGTGCACCATGGCCGAGCGACGAGGGCTTGCCCTGAGCTGCGTGGTTGGACCATCATGGGATGGTACCGTAGGTGCGCCGATGGTTGAAGGCAATGGCGTGCCATGAAGGATGTATGAAGCTGGTCTTAAGCGGGATGTGCACGCGTAACGAACGAGAGAGAGAGCAGCGGTGAGAGTGGTATATGTGCAACGAGCGACTCGCTGCACCACTGGCCTCGGTCGCTGCCAGCGAGGCCTTGAACCCTCCAACGCCGGCAGTCCAATCAAGGTTGCGAGAGGTATATATATGTGTGGGATCGCGATCGTCTTGGCACGCGGAAGAAACGATGACGCGCCAAGCTCTATGGCATATCTCGATCAGCCAAACGAAATCGGTCGACTCTGTCGTACGGAGCACGACGGGCGGAGCGGCGTGCCCTTCTCCTTAGCCAATGCGCGCTGGTCGTTGAGCATCGCGCGCTTCCTCGAGAGCAGCACGATACGCACGACGCAGAATCGCTTCCTTCGCAGCTCCGTCGGCATGTCGTCTTCAGTCCGGCGGTCGCGGATGCTCTCCGAGACGAGCAGAATACTTTTTACCCGCGTGGGGCAACATTTACTTGCTCGCATGTACATCGCCAACGTCGTTAGCGAGAATGGCCACACGTGTCTTGAGCTGCCACGTCATTCTTGACGCCAACATCGTCGGCTTCGATCTGTGCCACGTGGCGGGCGACGTTTCTGCGATGCGAGGCTGCCACGTTTTATATTTATTTACTGTATGGTATATATACAACAAGCTATACCGAAAAAGCTGGGATTGGTGGCATCGTCCGCAATTTCCAGAACACTCGAGTCGCATGCGCGTGCTCCAGATCATGGCGATGGCCGTCGTGGCGGCGGCCGCCACCGCGCACCAGGTCGCCATCGTACCGTCAACTGAGTCATCGATGGCGCCGACGCAGACGTGCGAGCTGACCGTCGACGGTGTCTGCGCGCCCGCGCCGCCACTCTTTGAGCCCACGCGCGAGTGGCAGGAAATCCTGCCCAACCAAGCCATTCCTGGTGTACGCCGGCCATCATTCACATTGCATTGTATCTTATTCGAGATGGGTAGGGCCTCCACGTGCGCATCAATCTTGCGACGGGCAAGAAGGAAGCCAAGCTGCTCACCGACGATGACGATATTGATGCGACGCCAGCCAATGTGCCCACGCCCGAGGTTGCCACCAGCGAGCTTACTGTTGTCGCCAGCGAGCTCGTGGGTCAAGTGACGCCGTCTGACGTTGTCGCATCGCCCGAGACGAAGGAGGAGCACCGCATTAGTGACTCACTCTACAACGTGCTCGCGGGGCTGCCCGAGCCGCCAGTCCTCGACGGTATCAACATCCACGACGCGCATGCACACCTCTCCAAGGAAGCGTTTGCCGCGTACGTCGAGAAGCTCTGGAAGGCGCGTCAAGCCGAGCTCAAGGAGGCGTCCGAGGCGATTCGGAACGAAGCCAAGTACATGCAGACGCTCATCGATGCGCTCTTGGCGCCGACAACGCCAACCGACGACGTGCTCGACGCGCTCACCAAGCTCGAGTGGGAAGTCCAGGACCTCGACAAGGCCCGCGACTTCAACACGCTCGGCGGCCTCGTCGTGACGGTCCAGTTCCTCAACGCGACGGACCTCGCCGTGCGCGCGCAGGCAATGTGGGTCGTTGGCAGCGCGATCAAGCACTTTGAAGAAGCCCAGAATTGGGCACTCCAGGCCGGCGCGGTTCCGCACCTGTTGCAGTCGCTCGCCATGCCCATCTCGGACAAGGCGGTTGTCGCGATGCAGCGCAAGGCGCTCTACGCCCTCTCGGCGCTCCTCCAAAGTAACGCCAAGTGCCAAGCCGTGCTCCTCGCCCAAGATGGCGTCCGCATTCTCAACGCGCTCGCTGCCAACGCGAACGCACCGTTGCAGCTGCGGCTGAAGGCAGTGCTGGTGCTGCACCACCTCCTCGCCGAGCACGCAGCCGACCCGTCGCGGGCCGCCGACGTCCACGCGGCCGTGCATGCGACCGATGCCTACTGCGCGGCGACCGCAGCGCTGCTAACGGACCCGACGCTTACGCCGAAGCTCGGGCTTCAGGTGATGGAGGCGCTCGCGCAAGCGCTCATGTCGCCGCCGTCCAAGTGCACGGCCGCCCTCACGACGCCGGCCGTCGCTGCCCACGTCAAGGCGCTCGACACGGCGTGGCGCACAGACCCGTCGCTGGACGCGGACCTCCAGGAGGACGCGACGAACGTTGCCATCACGCTCCTCGACTACCTTCAAGCGCTCGCCGGATTGTAACGACGGAATGAAATTAAAATAATAATAGCTAGTGTACACGCAAATTGGCAACTCGGTCCCTAGTCGGTGTACTTGGACACGAGCTCCCAGACTTCAAAGTTGATCACGTCAAAGTCCGGTCGGTGGGCCAAGCACCTAACGCAGCAGCATCCGGTGAGCTCGACGCATCATCTGCGGCACTGTCATCGCACCGGTTCTCAAAAGTGAGGCTGTGGGCACTCGTGCCCCGCGAGAGGTCGCTGTTGACAGCCCATGCAAACCCGCCGCTACGTAGCCAACAATAAGTCGCGCAAGAAGAAGGTTGGTTGGATGTACCCGCCGCCCATGGCCATCATCGACTCGTTGCTGAACATGATCATGGCGTTCGTGCCCTTCCACGCAAAATGCTCAAAGGACGGGTAGCACGTGAAGAGGAAGCATTCGCCCGTGCCATAGTACGACGTCGACGGGGTCCACGGCATGGACGCAAAGGCGCCAAAGACGTCGCCGTCGCCCGTCTCGACGACCACGATCGTGGGCCGCTTGCCGCGCACGTTGCGATAGAGCGTTCCAAGGCTCGCGCCGTGCTGTGCGAGGCTACCGAACAGAGATCAGTGCAATGCCAAGACGTGACGCATCGCACCTGTAGGCAATCTTCCAGTCGTAGCCGCGGTGACGCGCCGGCAGGCATGCCTCGAGCTAGTATGGATGCCAATGGTGAGCAAGGCTGCAACGAGCCGGTGGAGGAGGATAGGACGCACATACCCTCGGAACCAGATACTTTGTGTAGCTTGGGTGCGACAGGATGTCGTGAGGAGTCGCGAGGAGCAGCTTGGGGAGCGAGGTTGGATCCACGAGATGGCACTTGCAGCACGGTACCGGCTCGTGCGCGGGCTCCTTGATCGTCGGGGAGACAGGCCGCTTCTCGTCGTCGTCGGTTGGGTCGTGCTGGTTGCTCGGCGGGTTCTTGTGCTCTGGGATCTTGTGCTCTGGGATCGCAATCATGGTCTGGCTCGAGCTCCTACCACGGCCACTCAGCATTTCAGTACTTGTTGCAGCATGCTACACACCGGCGCGACGCATCGTTGGGCAAAAAGTCGTGGAGCGCTTTGGACGGCAGGCTCTGGCTGCGCGCGCGAATGCGCTGGCGGATCTTGAGCACTTGGCCCTGGTAGATTGCGTGGCCGCCAAGAAGGTGGTTGGATTGGCGCAGGTCAAACTCACGCAGGCCGTGTCTATGCCAAAGCGCCAGCGATGAGCACCACCTTTGCGCATGCTCGTCGTCGTACTTGATGGCGATGCCCATGAGCGTGTCGCCTTCCTGGACCACGTACGTCGTCTTGGCCGGTGCCACGTGGCTCTCGTCGTCGTGGTGGTTGCTGTTGTTGTCGTCGTCGTGCGTCGGGTCCATGCTTCGGCCTTTCTCGAAATGAAACGTTGCAGCAGCGTCATCAAGATGGACAGCGCTTTTCTATCGTCGAATGGCGAAAATCGAAGTTTTCTGCAAATTGCACCAATCAGACGCAAGAACGTGCGGCGCCGTGTCGCAAAACGAGCCAGGATTGGTCAAATTTACAGTTGCTATTGATAGCGGAGCGCTCACCTGCGTTGGATCGGCGTCGGAAGCAGCGACGCGACCAAGCTCAAGTTGTACCTAGGTACAGCCGCCTCGAGAAAGATCCAGCGCTTTCATGCAGCCTCTCGGCGGCCGCTCATGGACGGTCGCCATCGTAAAGGAGGATGCGAAGAAGCGGATCGGATCTTCTCCACCCGCATCGGCATTGCGCGACAGGACGACGACGACGACGAGGAACCCACGTTCTTTTTCCCATGGACTTGGCGCGTTTTTCGCAGTTGGGCCCGTTTGAGATGCGCGGCCACTTCTCACGAGCTTCGTACCATGTACGAGTTAGTAGACGGCGACAGCAGACAGCACAATGGTGCACCGGCTTCGCGACCACCTCATGCCGTCTTCGCCATCCCTACGTCTCGGCGCTTCGGCGCTGGGGTACATATATTGTGTACCCTTGCGTCGGCGAGAGTCGCAACACACGTAGAGTCAAAGGTCCACCACCAAAATCAGTCCAGTGTCACGTACGACTAGTAAATTTCAATACGTCGACTCACTTAAACAACAAGGGGCGCAAGTCCATGCAGCCGTATTTATACAGGCTGGATAGCTAGGCAGGATTGGACCATGGACCCTGGATTCGAGACGCACGAATGACGGGGACGCGAGCTTCGAAACGCATCGATGACGGTGCGAACGACGCACGTCATCAACAGCGTTAACACCGAGGTTGACTGCACGCAAGCTCCGTGCCTAAACACGGCGAGCCGTTTGACGACGGCGACGTCGCCCGTGACCAGATCGACGACGAGAACAACCCCGGTCGTTCTACTTCAAGTGCGTCGGATTGGATTTCTTGAATTGTTTCTTGGATTCCTTGGATTTCTTGGATTTCTTGGATTTCTTAGATCTTTGAATTGCAATTCTACGGGTCGCGGACGTCTGGCGATCGACGGCTTTTGAGCCCGTGTATATGCGAGGCGTGGAGAGGCCAAGTGATTCCTTGGCAAAGAAGTGGCTCGGAAAGAGCTTTTGAGGGGTTAAGAGTTCATCCTTTGGCAACGTGCCGTAGCCAGTAGTACTGAAGATGGAGCTTGATGCAAAAGCCTGCGCGGGGCCAATAAGATATGTATCTGGATTGTCGTCCGTGGTTGTGTGGAAGGTGTCGTGGGATCGGTATCATTGATGGCCGACTCTCGGATGCACATGGACGGGTCCGGATACTGTGAAAGCTAATACGCAGCGAAGGTATCATATGTGACAGGATTTTCGGGATCGCGTTTGTGTGGTGTTCGTGCGCCTTTGATTCCCTCTGAGAACGCATACTTTATGGGCTTGTGCAGAACGCAATCAACGGCCGCAAAATCCGACCTTGGGACGGCCATTTCGAAGTTTCAGCGACAGGTGGCAGGATGAGCAGGTATGGCAGCAGCTACGGCGGCGGCGGCGACTTCAACAGGGGACGGGGAGGCGGCTATGGCGGCGGCGGTGGCGGCGGCATGGGCGGCCGCGGTGGCTACGGCCGTGACATGGGCCGACGAGCCGAGCCCGGCGTCGGTGGCGGCGCCGAGCACCTGGCGCGCATCCACGGCACAGAGGAAGACCGCGTCAACTGCCCGTTCTACTTCAAGATTGGCGCCTGCCGGCACGGTGACCGATGCTCGCGCCTCCACAACAAGCCCGTATTTAGCCAGACGATCCTGGTCAAGCACATGTACCAGAACCCGCTCTCGGTCATCATTGCTGCCAACGGCGACCCGTCGCAGTTGGACCAGAAGACCGTCGACGAAGACTTTGAAGATTTCTTCGAAGAAGTCTACGAAGAGCTGTGCAAGTTTGGCAAGGTCGACGAACTCAACGTGTGCGACAACCTTGGCGACCACCTTGTCGGCAACGTGTACGCCAAGTTTGACGACGAGGAGTGCGCTGCCGCGGCGCAGAAGGCGCTCTACGGTCGCTTCTACGGCGGCCGCCCGCTCATTTGCGAGTTTTCGCCCGTCACAGACTTTCGCGAAGCACGCTGTCGTCAATTTGACGAGGGCACGTGCAACCGCGGCGGCTACTGCAACTTTATGCACATCAAGATGGTGTCACATGCCATGATGATCGAGCTCGAGCGCCACTACAACGTAAAGAAGGACGACAACGAAGAGAAGGGCCGCAGCAGGAGCAAAAGCCGCAGTCGTAGCCGTCGGCGCCGAAGAAGTCGCAGCCGCAGTAGATCATCCAAGCGCCGTCGCAGTCCAGAACCGCACCGACGCGACTAGACCGGGCCAGTGGCTCCATCATGAGTCTGTCGCTCGACCATTCTCTTCCATCCTGCGCGCATTTCCTCACCTACGCATGGCCGGAGACATCGGCATCAAGCAGGGGAGCGATCGGCTCATACTATAAAATATAAAGTTAACAGGGCTTCCATCGACTCGTCGCCGTCGTGCAAGCCCCACGAGCACCGACGCCGCGTCGACGTCAACAGGGACAGGTCTACAGGCGCTGCCATTCTGCCGCAGTTCCTGGCTCGACTCCATCCTCGCCTTTCTAATCGCGCCCGAGACCGAGTGTTATGAAGCCTACGCGGCAGACATGGCGACGGGATGGAGCAGCTGATGGCAACGTAATGGTGTGGCTGCGTGGTTCCACATCCTGTATGCAAACCAGGCGCATAGTGGTGCGCGGGCTTAACTATAATAAATAAGATTTAATTTCGCAGCCATTCATTGGCCCGTTGCCCTTGAAGATTCGCTGTCGCGCCGTTTTCCCAAAGAAGATTGGGACAAAACTCGGTTTTGCACCCTTTGCGACAGAGGCTAAAAACACGCACCTCAAGGGATTCTTGATTCTTGTGGCGCGCAGTCGGCCACGGCTCGCACGGGCTCGGACAAGTTGTGCAGAAGACTGAAGTACACAGCATATCGCGTGCTTTCTCGTAAGCCTATCTATTGGTCTTTTCGCAGAAAGGATCCAAGCGAGAGCATTCGACAAGCACCGTCACGTGGTACTCGCGCTGTGGACGGGCATTTCAAGGACGATTCTCCAGCAATGACATACTATATATGGATGGATCTACTTCAGCTCCTCCAGTCGTAGTGAAACGAACCCTTCTCTTTATATATTATTTGGGAGCTTCGAAATGCATCTCTGAAATGATGCGTCCGAAAATGCTAAAATGAAGAGCAACTTCAACATTGAACACCAGCTCTTTGCAACACGACGCTGAACGCTTGCGCGCAGCGGCCCTGTATGGTAGCGCACCAAACGCTACGCCACTACTGCTTATCGTCGTCGTGATGGGTACCAACGAGACCGAGCAGCGCGTTGTATGCAAGCAGTTTGTCCCTGGAGCTCTTTCTGCCAGACAAGGACGCGCGAGAGGCCAAAGTTGGGTGTTTTCAAATGTGACGGCCCGAGGTAGCAAAGTAGCAAAAAAACGCCGGGACGTGTCCCACGAATCAAATTCCTCGACGTCCTTGGCTTATCATTTCACAACAAGCAACCAGCCATCATGGGCAAGAAGACGTCGACCAAGCATGCGCGCAACGGGTACGACTCGGACGACGGCAGCATGAGCCTTGGCGGCTCGGTCGCGTCCAGCGACACGGACCGCTCCATGGACGTCGACGAGAACGACGGCGAGCTCACGCAAGAGGAAGCGCTCCGCGCCCACATGGAAGAGCTCCTCGAGAAGCGGTACGAGCATGCAATCAAGCCATGGCATGGATGCGACGATATACATCATGTAGAACGACGACGCGTGTCTCGGCCTTGAAGAAGATTGAGGCGCTGCTCGCGCAATGCATTCCGCTCGAGATGCTCCAGGACAAGTACGCTGCCCGATCCATCGCGATACCAGAACTCACGCTGTGAACTAGCGTCGACACGCTCCAAACCAACGTCTTGTACATCTTGCGCCGCCCATCGCCGGTAGAAGGCGTCCTCGGCGCGCAAATCCTCGCGCTCATGGCGCTCATCCTTGGCGCCAACGAAGACGGCTACTACAGCCAGATCAAGGGGCCGTTGCACTTGCTCGTCAAGTCGGAGGCACAAGCCAGCGACGTGCGGGCCATGGTACATCCAACGCATTCTTGCCACATTGTATACTAATTGTGGATGCGGTAGGCCCTGCAAGCGCTTGGCACGATCTGCTTCATCTGCAGCAGCGACCAGGAAGACACCCACGCCGTCCTCTCGGCGTGCACCGCCTTCTTTGGCAACGCGTCAAACGCGCTGGCGGTCGCTGCTCTCGACACGTGGGGCTGCCTTGCATCGACGCTTCCGAGTGCGACATTGGTCGACGACTCGTTCCTCGCCCCGTACGCGTTTGATTATCGCATCCGCCTCTCACGCTTTGTCTAGGAACCTCGAGGTGTTTCTGCAGCTCCTTGAGCATGCGGATGTCGACGTGCGGTCGGCGGCCGGGGAGAACATTGCGCTCTTTTTCGAGGCGCTCGCGACGGCTCACGTCGAGTACGTGGACCGGGACGTGATCGCGGCCAAGCTCCTTCTCTTGAGCAAGGACTCGAGCAAGAAGACGAGCAAGCGCGACCGGAAGGAGCAGCGCACGGTCTTCCGCGACGTGTACAAGACGGTGGCCGACGACGTCTCGCCGTCTGTGACCTTTTCGTTCCAGAACGAAATGCTTCGCTTCCAGGACTGGTGCACGCTCAAGCAGTACAGTACGCTCAAAAAGTGGCTCCACGTCGGGTTCCAAGAGCACCTCAAGTACAACAACACGGTCCGCGGGCTCCTCGACCTCCCGCTTACGTCCGAAGAGCAGCCCCGCGTCGAGAAGCGGGACACGCTCTCCAAGAACTCGCACACGCGCAAGCACCAAAGCGCCGCGCTCAAGGACCAGCGGGCAGCGCGCATGAACCAGAAGAACCTCTTCCTCGCCGACTACTAGGCGCAGGATTCGTGTATCATCTATCTATTAAAGTAAGACGCTTTTGCATGCATGTCGTCCTGGCTACAGCCGCTTTTGAACGAGGTACGTGACGTCCGTCGCGGTACCAGAGAAGGTGGACGCAGCGTGCTCACGCCCGTCGCGGGTCTCCCAGCGCAATGGCGGCGGCAAGCGACGTGCAGGACCACCCTTGTCGGACAAACGGCGTCGCGTGGCCTCAAGAAGCAGCAAGACCACGAGCAGCATGAGCGCAATCGCGGTTGACGGCGCCACAAGGCTCGGCTCCATGAAGGGCGGGGCATCGTGCAGAGTCGAGTATGGTACGACCGGGAACGTCGCTAGCGACGCTGGCTCGAAGGAGCACGACCAGATCGCGCTTCGTATCGGCGGTCGCATCTCGAGCTCGCAGATGCCATGGCGCCGGACGACGCGGACGTAGTACGACGTCGCCTCCTCGCGGAGCGTCGGGAGATGGAGCAAGACCTCGAAGTACGGTGTCCCTTGGGCCTGCGTCGCCACGCGGTCATCCAGGACGCAGGAGCGTCCATCGTCCTTGCATGCGTAGACTATGGTCATCCTGCTTCGTCGGTCCATCATGGGTCCGCGCCCATGGACGAGGTGATGGGTCGTCGTCGTGTCGGTTGTCGACCACGCGCGCATCACGTCAAATCTTCTGTGGTCCCCTCGGCGCGTTCGATTGGTCCATTTAAATGGATTTTGGCCAATCCGATCGCATGATTTTAAACAAGAAGCCAGAATTTGCGCGCGCAAATGGCTGCCGTGGGACCCATGGGCCTCGCTCGCTCTCGAGTCCGTCGGCAGGTTTCTATCTATATAGAAACCATGCATCTCCCTCGCGCCTCAGAGAACGCTTCTGGCTCCCGACGCGTCGTCTTACGTCAGCAGGAGGAATGAAGATCACGGTCGAAGTCGCTGGCGATTTAACGCGTCTTTTTGGGCGATCCGCGATTGTATTAAAATGGCGACTGTTAAATTTTATAATGTACCAATTGTATGCCTCGGGGGAGCTATTCAAAGAGACAGGTCCGGGGCCGCGACAAGGGCGACGACAATACACGCTGATTGGCTGAAAAGATAGAAACGTCCTGTGCGATGCGATGTGATTGGTCGATTTTCAAAGGACAGTACCGAATTGGAAGAAGCGGGTTAAACGAAGAAGGGGGTTATCGTTTTTCACAACCAGTTCATTGCGATGACCACTGCGCCGACAATGGAAGGCAAGGCCAAGTCGCGCCGGGGCCGCGCGGCCGACGGCGCCGGGAAGGGCAACCTCACGGTCGAGCAGAAGCGGCGCATCTGCGAGAAGCACCGGACGACGCCCAAGATCACACAGAAGGACCTCTGCCGATGGGCCATGCTCGAGTTCCAGCTGGCGAAAGCGCCGACGCAGCCGACCATGAGCAACATCCTCAAGCACGAACACCTCTTCCGCGAGAGCGTTGGTGGCGCCGCCTTCGATACCTCGCGCAAGACGATCCGCCCGACCAAGTTTAACCATTTCGACCAAGCGCTCGCCAACTGGGTGCTCGAGCGCCACAACAAGGTCAACTTGACGGGCGATGCGATCAAGGAAAAGGGCCGTGAGCTTAGCACGCAGATGGGCCTCGAAGGCAAGCTCGCCTTCTCAAACGGCTGGCTCAGCTCATTCAAGCAGCGCCACGGCTTCAAGAAGCTGGGCATTCCCAAGTCGGTTGGCAGCACATCGATCGCGACCATGAACGCGCTCATGGACACGAGCCCGGCGGCGCTTATTCCGCAAGTGATGGACTTTAAGCTCCCGGACGACCTCACGTCGATGCACATCAAGGAGCTCACGCAGCATTACGCGCTGAAGGATATCTTTACGATGGACGAGACTGGGCTTTTCTTCCGCATCTCGCCGCACGCGTTTGCCGACCACGACAACCTCGAGGTGCACTTTGCGAACGAGTCAAAGCTCACGGTCGCGCTCACGTCGAACGCCGATGGCAGTGAGATGCTCGAGCCATTTATCATTGGCGAGGTCTTTCCGCCAAAGGACTGGCGGTCGCAGAGCGCGGAGAAGCTCGGGTTCAACTACTGCCACAACGCCAAGTCCAAGATGACCGTGCTCATCTTCCAGCAGTGGCTCCGCGACCTCAACGCGCGCATGCAGTTTGCGCAGCGCAGCATCCTCCTCCTCATTGACAATGCGCCGTCGCACATCTCGGTCGGTCTCGAGCTCTCGAACGTCCGCCTCATTGTGTTTCCGCACACGATGGGCACGAAGGCGCAGCCGATGCACTGCGGCATCACGACAGCGTTCAAGTGCCGGTACCGCATGAAGCACCTCGCGCATGCGATCGACCGCAACGAAGAGGGTGCGCCTGACATTTACCGCGTCACGCAGCTCCAAGCGATGCAGTGGATCTCGGAAGCGTGGCGTGAAGTGCCAAAGGACGTGGTCGTCAACTGCTGGCGCAAGGCCAACTTTGTCGCTGCGTACCATGGCGAGCCGGTCACGAACGTCGAGGTGCTCGAAAAGTCGACCGAAGACGACCTCTGGAGCATGCTCTACTGCCTCCAGCTCGGCGGCGTCATCAACATCAAGGAGCTCCTCAACTCGCGCGGCGAAAACGACGTGCACAAGCAGCTCAACGAAGAATTCTTTGACGAGCCGCGCGAGTGCATGGAAGAGTTCAAGGCACTCGACATGCCGACGGTCGCCAGCGTCACGGCCGAAGTCGCCGACGACGGCGGCGAGGCCATGCCGACGCTGCAAGAGCACCTCGACGCATTCCGCACGGTCATCCGATGCCTCGAGACGACGGCGATCGAGCAAGACGAGGCCCAGACGCTGGCCGAAGTGCTGCACTTTCTCAAGAAGAAGCAGCTCGGTCTGCGCCTCAGCCGCGCGTCGACGACCACGTTCACGTTATAAGTAGTTTTTGGCCACTCGGCTCGTGTGGGAGACGTAGTACATTCATATATGATGAAGCTCGAACCGACCGTCTTCGCTGCTGCGAGCGCGATGCATCATGCAAACGAAAAGTCGAGAAGGGTCGTGGAAGGCGAAGAGACCCCTGTTGTTGGAGTTTATGTCTTTTGGAAGCTACGACGGCGGCGGTGTCTCGGTGGCCGTCGAAGGGGCTTTCGACGATGGCTCGAGCGGTGGCGCGCCTCCGGCGACGATGACGAGGCTGCGGAGAAACCGGTAGCACAAGAGGCAGAGCACGCGAACACCGACGAGCCCGAGACAAGCGATGGCAGCGTAGACAGCCCAGACGTCGAGCATGACGACCTTGTGCCACGGCAGGAGCAAGTCGACGGTCGTCAAGTGGGCGTGGCCAAACTGCAATGTCGACTCGACGATCGTGAGCACCCGGTTGATGCCACCGGCCTCCTTGAGCGCCGCGCCAACGCGGACGGCCGCGGCCGCGTACGAGGCGTTCTGGATGAGCTCGCGCGCCTTGTGATGGACTTCATCGGGCGTGAAATGCGACTTGTCGAGGACCAAGCCCGCCCCCGCGTCGACGACCCGGGCCGCCACGTCGGGCTGGTCCACCACGAACGGAAGGCAGAGCACGGGCTTCCCAAACACGAGCGCTTCTTGCGCCGAGACCATGCCGCAGTGCGAAATGACTACACGTGCCGTCACATCCCTCTCTCTTCATAGCACACCAATCGCAAGGCGTACCGAGCTTGACGGCAGGGTGCGCGAGGACCTTGAGATGGGGAAACCCGGACCCAAGCACTTTGATGCGGAACGACGGTGGCAAATGCGATGGCAGCACGTGACGCTGGTCGTTCGGCAGCGTCCAGAGCACGTTGAACGTCGCGCCATCCTTGGAGAGGCCTTGCACGATCGCATTGGCTTGCCACGGATCAATGTACGAGAGGCTGCCAAAGCTGATGTAGATGACGTCGTCGGCGGCCATCCACTGGCTCACGAGCGGCGGCAATGTCGACGCCGCGTTGTCGAGGCTCTCGAGCGGAAGCAGCGGTCCGACCATTTCGATGAGTGGCGAGAGCGGTCGGGCGTACTCGAGGCCAAATGCCGTGTTGACAAGGATGCGGGCGCCCTTGAAGATGTCGTGCTGCGACCGGAACGGCGCCAAGTCGAGCTCCCAGCGCGCCTTATTCACCTACAGGTCATCATCCGTTGCACCAACGCCGTTACGAAGCGAGCGCAACCTGCATAAAGGGCGGCGTGAGCGCAACCGAGAGGAGCCGCGGGAAGAGCAGGTTCATGCACCGGTTCCAGAGCGACATGTGGATCGAGAAGCCCGTGCCCCACGCGGGCACGTACGACGGCGTCCCGCCCATGTCGAAGAGAATCGACGGCGAGTTGACGAGGTACGGTAGCTGCAGCTTGTGCACGAGGTCGTGGCCGCCAATGGTCGCAATGTCGAGCACGACGAGGTCCGGGCGCGACGCCGAGACGATCGGATACAGCGCATCGTACATGGGCTGCGCGGTCGGGACGTAAATGTCGTTGAACATGTTGAGGATGCCCCGGAACGTGGACGCATCGCGCGTGATCGCTTGGAGCTTCTCGCGCAAGGCGTCGGCCGAAATCGGGAACGGGCCCGCGGAAATGAAGGTCGCGCCCGTGCGCTGGACCCATTCCTTCCCAGAGTCGTGCGTTGCAAAGCTCACGTTGTAGCCGCGGCGAACCATTTCGTCGGCGACGCGCAAGAGCGGCGTCGCGTGGCCACGGATCGCGAGCGAGATGAAGAGCACGTGCTTGTGCTTGACGTCGTCGAGAGGCGAGAAGACCGGGCTGCGCTCGAGGTCGCCGCCGTTCAGGTCAAAGGTGACGCCCGGCGGGATCGGCGCCGAGGCCATCGCGCAGGCCAGCGCGGCTAAGCACGCCAGAAGCAGCGACAGCGCCATGCTTGTAGTCTCGGAAGCGTTGGTATTGCACAAACCGTCGCTTCTGATTGGATGAAATGAGTGCCATTTTCGGATTGGTCGACACGGCCATCCACGATCCGAGACAAGCCATCGTGCCACGTGCCAAGTCGAAGGACGGGGAAGCTTGCTCGTTTGCGGCAGCCGTCGCAAAGGATGACAATAGGATGTTTTCTGTCATGCTGTATCTGCTGCCCACCATAACGAGGGCGACAGTGACGTACGCGCAGAGCTCTTGACGCTCCGTCTTGGAGACAATCGTGAATCGCGCAGTCGCATCACAGTCGTCGAATCGGTTGAGCACCAATGTGTCTTCAACGTTGTGGACGTACTCAGACCAGTGACCTTATGGTTCAAGGGCTCCTCTTGCGAGTGGGGAGCGATATCGATATCGTTCCCATCCACCGATATACGTTTTGCTAAAACTCTACACGAACGTGCGGTCTTAATTTAAGAAGTACTATTTCTAGCTCAAGCTGTTATCCGTGGATGTACGCACTGGTCCATGGGCAGTGGAGCGAGCAAGACGTCGTCGGTGATTGCAGCGCCGGCCAACATCAAATCTCGCAGCACGCCGCGGCTTCTCTCGATCAACCTCAGCGAAGACCGCGTTCAGCGGCCCAATAGCGCGTCGCTCCAGAGCCCCAAAGCGTCGCTTCAGAGCCCCAAGACGTCCAGTTGCAGTCTGAGTGGCGCCAAGTCGCCAAGTCGTCCCAAATCCCACATCACTGGACGTCCAACTCACTCTGTCTGCAGGACAAGAAGGACATTGGGGACGACGAGTATGCCGATGAAGAGTTCGAATCCGACACATCGGGTCGTGTCAATGGTTGGTAGCCTCCAACCCCTCATGCTGGCGGTGTTGTAGAAGCCCCCGCGGCGTTTCCGTGGAAGCGTGGCGAGCTCCTTGGCACGGGCAGCTTTGGCTCGGTGCGCACTGGCTCCGAGATTGCTTCGACACTCACGATGCGGATTAGGTGTACTTGGCGCGGAACGAGTACTCGGGGGACCTCATGGCGGTCAAAGAGATCTCGTACGACGACGACTCGGCCGACGAGGTCATTGCGATCCAGCAAGAAGTGCTCGTCTTGCGCTGCTTGCACCACCCGAACATCGTCAAGTACATGGGGAGCGAGTACAACGAGGCCGCGCGCACGCTCTACATCTTTACCGTCTGTCCTCTTGGTCCGCTCGATGACGCATCTCTCGATGTCGCATTAGGAGTGGGTACCCGGCGGTAGCCTCGAAGACAACACCAAGACGTTCGGCTGCTCCGAGCCCGTGGCGCAAAAGTACATTTACCAAATCCTCCTCGGCATCGACTATTTGCACTCGAAAAACGTCGTGCATTACGACATCAAGGTAGAAGCGTATTTCTACGTGGTCGGGACAACACTATGGACATGCGTAGCCCAGTAACATTCTCATCGACCAGCACGGCGGCGTCAAGCTGGCTGATTTTGGTGCGTCTCGCTTGCTGAACGCGAGCTCGGTCGCCCAAGGCAAGTCGCTTCGGGGCACTCCCTACTACATGGCGCCCGAGGTCGTCAAACAAGCCGGCACGAGCGTCAAAGTCGACATTTGGAGCCTCGGGTGCTCGGTTGTCAAGATGCTCACGGGCGTGCCGCTTTGGAAAACCATGAAGTTTCAGAGCCAAATCGCGCTCTTCTTCCACATTGCCAACCTCACGGCGCCCCCGGAGCTGCCCGCGTCCATTTCGCCCGTCGCCAAGTCGTTCATTACAGCGTGCTTGCAGGTACACAACACTCCTTCCGTGTACTGGGATTGCATTCATTACGACAAGGTGTCGCCCGAGGCGCGTCCGTCGGCCGAAACGCTGCTCAAGCACCCGTTCATTCAGCAGCGACACTTTAGCCAAGCGCCGACCCACGCCATTTTGCACGTAGATCGATCCTGCAGCATTCGCACCGAGCAGAGCAGGAACCATATACTGGTGTTTAGGAGAATCTGCGGGGCCGCGCCACAACGGCCTGTACTACGTTCATGAGCCCGTCGCGACCGCAATGCAGCGGGGATGCACCGCCGCGTACTGCCGTTCCGCTCTTCCACCCGAGCCACAACTACGACGTCTTTGGTTTGCACGCAGACAAGCCGCCGTCCCACGACCAAAACAACATGCAACTAGGTAAACAAACTTCTGCGTTGATATTCGCCACTCGCCTTAAAACGTCTGCAATCGGATTGTAGGAGCGCATACGCACGAACCGAGTGCGAACAAGCCCAGGGAGAACGACGACGACGACGAAGAGGAAGATGAACGTGATGCCATGCCCATGGCCAAGTCGACGAGCGAGTCGGTCTTGCCGTCGCTGACACCGCCCAAGTCGACGAAGAAAAAGAAAAATTCGGCCCCGATCGTGCCCTCCATCGAGGCCACGGCGACGCACGCGCGGAGTACGTCGTTGGCGTCATCCAAAGACCTCGGCGCCAACGCGGGCAACCGACGCCACTCGCACGACATGGGTGCGGGTGCCGAGGTCGTGATGCCGCGCCTCGCTGCCAAGGACGACCACCACCCGCCGGTGGTATCGTCGCCGCCCAAGAAGAAGCTCTACGATGAGACGCCCATCTTGTCGGACGTCGCCAAGCGCGAGCGCGACACCGTCCTCGAGCGCGAGGTAGTAGCTCCAAGGTGCAACCACAATTGCCATGGATACATGTAGGCACAAAAACGCAAGCTCAAGGAAGAGCAAGCGCGGCAGTGGCGCGAAGAGCAGGAGGCGTACCGGCGGTCGCTTGCGCCGGGCTAATGGCCAACAACGGCAAACTCATCCAATAGTGTGTTGGACCAAGTGCACAGTGGGTCGCATGCGACGTCTTGGGTACGTGTGGGATGTGATGTTCATGGAGCGACCGTATCCTCCTTGCCATATCCGCCTTAACGACAGTGTCGACGACAACAGCAAAGCATCGTACGTGCCATTGGTCCCTGCGTCGGTACGAGTATGCTAGAAGCACGATCCTCGTCTAGTTAGTCGATGCATCATCGCTTTTAGTCGCCCGTTGTCTCGTCGGGAAAGGCGGTGCAATCAATTCATCCCCGGGGTTCTTTTTCGATCGGAGCTAAAAATAGACGGGCCAATCGTTTAAAATACAAGCTTGTACAGGATGTTTGTATGTATTTTTATTGACATAAAATGGCGGTCTGCGATTGGTCCGTATAGAAAACCCAAGAGGTTTTGGATCCGGCAGATTTTAACCACCAGTACGGGGTCAAAGACAAGGCGATCTTCACAGAGTCCAATTACTAGCATGGCGTCCAAGGTCACCGCGGGCCCGGCTGTGCTCATCGCCGTCCTCAGCGTCATCGGCCTCGCCGGCTTCGTCGCCTACGAGTACATGAAGGCGGCCGACGACGACGCCAAGAAGAAGACCAAGTCCCGCTCCATTACGATGACCAAGGCCGCGACGACGCCCAAGCTGCAGGCGACGTCGCCGCGCAAGGCGCAGTCGCCCATGGCGTCGCCCACGC